CCTGCCCATCTCATCCTCCTTGGTTTGATTATTCTAATTATACTTTGAGAAGAGTACAAGTTATGAAGCTCCTCATTATGCAGTTTTCTCCAACCTCCTGCCACTTCATCCTTCTTTGGTCCAAATAGTCTCTCAGCACCCCGTTCTCAAACACCCTCAGCCTATGTACTTCCCTTAATAGCAGAGACGACGTTTTACACCCATACACAACCACAGACAAAAAGTTATAATTTTGTATATTCTAATTTTTACGTTTTTAGACAGCAGAAACAAGTAAAGCTATCCCTGTAGCAGACCTTGAAGGCCCATAGGGTTGTGAGACGTTGAGGGTCCCACATTATCTACAAAATCGGTTCAAAGATAGCGGTAAGGTTGTCGGCCTTACGCGCCGGCCTCGCTTTACTCCCCAGGAAAATTATTTAATTAATTTCTGGTACTCATTTCTGTTCGAGGCTAAGTCGACCCCAGGGCCATAGTGTGGTTTAGGTCAATTGAAAAAAAAATCCAATGACCACATCGGGACCTAAACCCGCGACCTTCCGGCTTGTAGCACAGTGCCTCAACCAACTATGCTACCGCGTGCCCCCTTTAGATAGCAGACGAGAAGAAAAAACGTTCTGGACTGAAAGGGAACAAACGTTACCCGAGTTCAATCTCCTCTCAAATTCCTCCTGGATAAAATTTTGATTTGTTGCTCTGGTTCCAAAATATCTGAACTGTGCCACATTTTCAAAATATCTGTTTTCTATCTTTATGTCATGATTTTGCCCTGCATTTTGGTGATGAGTCTGCACAACATATACTTAGTTTTCTCCGTGTTTACTTCTAGACCAACCTCCTTACTATGGTCAGTTAAAGTTTGTGTGTTTTTCTTTATGGTATCTACAAGAGTTTGATAAAAAGTAGTGGCAACACTGCTGTAACATGAAAGATGTGCATCAGGTGGCACTAGCGCCGTTTGTAGCTGATAGCAGAAGTTCGGTTGAAGTAGTGCAGTGAGTGGCTCTGTTGTGTTTCATTGAATTGCATTGTGCATCGTCTTGAAGTGCAGGAGCCCAGTTCGAGCACCCTAACACCATGTTTACGATACAAGAACAGTGCTTCTGGATAAAGATTGAAGTTGCACGATGTCGTAGCGCACTAAACTGTTATCAGGGACTGCAAGAAGCAGGTGGTGATGCTGCTTGGCCATATCACACAGTGGCATGATGGGTGAAATTGTTCCGTGAAGGGAGGGTTGCCATTCAGGACAGCCGTCGTTCAGGACAACCCCATGTTGACAACCACACAATTCAGCTTCTTGCTTCTTTGCTGGATGTCGATCGTTGATGGTCTGTGCAGGAGTTAGCTGCTAAGGTAGGCGTAGGTCAAAAAACCGTGCTCCACATTCTGCACGATATTCTTGGATACTGCAAAATTGCAGCGCGTTGGGTACCCCATACAATGTCCAAGGTGCAACAATGGGAACGTTATGCAATTTCATAGGACTTGTTGGACTGGTACCAGAGGGAAGGCGACGGCTTCCTTGGAAGAATCATGACTCTGGATGAAACTTGGGCTCGCTCATACGAACCACACTTGAAGAGACAATCAAATGAATGGAAGCATCCTGGCTTTTCTCGTCCAAAGAAAGTGCGTCCTACACAGAGTAATGTGAAGGTGATGTTCCTTGTGGCATATGACACTGATGGAGTGATACTGCACCACACTGTACCTCAACAACAGACAGTAAACGCTGCCTACTACTGCAATTTCCTGCGTAATCATCTTCGTCCAGCACTCAGGAGAAAGAAACGACTCTTGTTGGCAACAAACCCCATCATCATCCTTCATGACAATGCAAGGGGTCATACTGCTGACGCTGTCAAGGATCTCCTTCGCCGCTGGTGATGGGAGATACTGCAACATCCGCCATACTCACCTGATATGAGTCCGTGTGATTATGATCTCTTTGCCAAAATGAAAGAACTACTATGATGATTACGTTACAACACAAGAGAGGAGATTATTCATGCTCTAGGGGGTCACTGCTGGACATCAACAGAGGTGGACCCGCTGATGGTGTACGACGCCTTCCACAAATTTGGCAGAAGGTGGTACACATGGGGGGCGATTATATTGAAGGAATGTGTGTTTACCTCAGGTAATAAAGTCATTTCAGAACTATAGAGGCGTTGCCACTACTTTTTATCTGACCTATGTATATTATCACCCAATAGATTCGCATCATCATCATAGACCAGCAGCTGATGTGTCCTGTTTCATTTCAGTCCCACCTGGTTTTGCTGGACCTTCCTAATGGCATTTTCTAAAGCAAAGTTGAAAAGCAGTGGTAATAAAGCATCTTCTTGTTTTAGACCATTCTGGATAGGAAATTTATCAAACAAATGTTTATCTATACAGACTTTACTATACGCTTTGTTTAAAAATATTTTAATCAGCCTAACTAGTTTCACGGGTGCCCCAAACTCTATCAGAATATTGTACAATATTTTCCCCCTAATTGAATCATAGGCTTTCTTGAAGTCTACAAAGAGTTGATGTACTGTCTCATTGTACTCTTAATTTTTTCTCCAGTATCTGATGAAAACAAAAGATGTAATCAGTAGTTGATCTGTTATGTCAAAACCCACACTGATGAGCCCCAATAATTTCATCTTGAGAGAAGAATATTGGATAAAATGTATGAAGCTGATAGCAGTGATATCCCACAATAATTACTAAAGTCAGTTTTTTCACCCTTCTTGTGAACTGATATGATAATGGATTTCTTACACTGATCAGAAAATTCTTCCTTAATAGAATTAATTAGCTTATGGATCCTAGAATGTAATATTTCGCCTCCTAGTTGCATATGTTCTGCCAGAATTTGATCACTACCTGGCTATTTATAACTTTTCATCTTTACAATAACGATTTCAGGCTCAAAAGGACTAGGATCAGTCACTAACAGCTCAGCTGTATGTATTTCTGTCTGCTTAACATCAATGACCCTATGGACATTCAATAACTGAGGGAAGTAGTTCTTCCACCTATTCAAAATGTTGTGAGAATCTGCAAGCAGATCACCATTCTCATCCTTCACTACTCGTAAGTTACTTCTATATTGGTAATCCCCATTAAAGTTCCTTATTCCTCTATACATGGCTCTAGTTTTCTTCTTCTTACTGTTTATTGCAAGCTCATCATTTTTGTCTCTGAGATATTCCCTTTTTTTTTTTTTTCTGAACTATGTTTTGTCTTTACTTTGAAGATATTCTTAAGTTGTGTTGACAGTTCAATTCGCATGAGTATTATGTAGTTAAACCTGAAGGTAACCAGAGAGAGCTCTCATACATACGTTCAAACTGCAGGGAATGGCAACCCTGCCTTATGCAAGCTGCAGGTCCCACTGGCTCGGTGGGTACTTCCTGGTAAGGGCCCCTCCCCAGGGTTACATGGCAGGTATACATGACTTGTTGGGCATGGTAGCCAACCTGTCTGAGTGAAGAAAGCCCTGCATAAGAACTCTGGTCTTCCAAGTTACAGGGGTTTGCAGCAGGCTGATAACCTATTCAAGTAAAAAAAAAGTTACTCATAATCCTCAAAGATGCTTCATGTTTGAGGATGGAACGGGCTAACAAGCTCAACCCCTGCAGATGATGATGATGATGAAGATGATGATGACATGACAACATTGATATATTTAAACCTTACTTTGACTCACTGGCTCAATTGAGCAGGCTCCTTTTAGCAACTAATAGCCGCTAAGCTAGTAAAGGAATTCTCTGCCATTTATCACAGTCAAAATTTCATTGCTGTGTTCACAAGAGCTCGAAACTGACCCCCATCCTGAGTCAGATGAATCTAGTCTCAAAATATTCCTTTAATTTCCATGTTAATGCTAGCCTCTCATCTGTATATAAGTTTCCACGTAATTTCATTCTGTATTGTTTTCTGGCTAATATATTGTGCATATTTCTCATATCTCCCATGAGTGCTACATGCCCAATAAGACCCATCTTACTTGTTTTGATCATCTTAATAATATTTGGAGAAGAGTGAAAAATATGATTTTCTTAATTATATTTTGGGCCCATTGATCAGAACTGAAATATAAGCCTAAGGGTGATGGTTTTGCAGCAAAAATGCGATTGCCTACAAGGAAAACTTTGAGCACACTAGCCAAATGAAAGATTAGACATCTCTTCTTACATTGCTTTTTGGCGTAATAGTAATATATGAGACAGTTTTTAAGATTGGAGGGTGTCATGGCTGTGAACATGAAATTTACCTTTTCTGGGAGGTGACGCCATATGGTTACCAATGTTTTGGACACTCCAATAGACTTCTTATTGAGTTACTTCGGAAGGGAAATCTGTAGGGTCCTTCGAAACATTGATAACTTTCTATCAACCTGTATGGTGTCACATCCCTGAAGACAATTACATTAACAAGAGAATTTGGTTTTGAAAAATAAGTATACACGTATATTTTAAGCATAGTGTAACTGCATTTGATAAAAGTGATTTTATTGCCGAAGCCGCTTTCTGATATAACTAAAGTATATTAAATACTTTTGTGTAGCCTATAGCGTCTAACTTAATTTTTGTACATTTTTTTTCTATAATGACTGCAACAGTTAGAGTAGTTCCATCAGATGTAAATCTCACCTATCCAGTTTATTTGGCCAAATTTCGAATGAAACACGAAAAAATATCACCTCAGTACAATTATCCGTAAAGAATGTACCGCTACATAGAAGTAGTAACAAGCGGTAGTTGCCGATTGAAAGCGCGCCAAACCACTACCAACGGAAATCATGTTCGCCACTTCTTTAGTAAAATATGTAAGTCATATAAAATGGAACTATGAAAACTGAGAATTAATTATAAATTTATGTAAATTCAAACTGTAATGCCAGTAAGCACTTATATTATTGTACAAAAGAAAATAATCTGGTATGAGGTCAATTAATGTAGTAAGCGCTGTACACGAATCAAAGACAAACTATAGTAATCGATTATTGATCACTCGATATTTTGAAAAATGGCGCTTGTATCTAAGAAAGAGAAATATTATTTATTTAATGGACTTGTTTGTTTAGTACAGAGTTTAGAAGGAAAATATACAACAGTAGACCTGAGGAATGAATCATGTGTAACGGGACAAATTGACCAAGTTGATGGGTAAATAGCTTACCGTCGTTTCTACGGTTGAGGTGTGCTGTTATTTAAGGTTAGGTTAGAGTTACGTAATAGAAACGTATTGCAATGCGATTTCTGTTTTAGTACACTCTTCCTGTTATCAAGTGAGGTTAGGATTTATCATCTGGAGGTCGTGGTTACGTCATTTGTCTATTTATATGTCTGAATTTGTTTGAAATTGTTTGTGTTTTTTTGCGTGAATGTCACCAATGAGAGTAAAAGCTCACTGCCACTGGGAAGCATATTTAATTTCTTAAACAATTTTCTGCAAAAGACTCGTTATTTTTAATGTCTTCCATTATTATAATTATTTGTTTTGATTGCCACATAATTTTTCCTGTAAACGTTCTCCAGAAGATTATTCTATATGACATGGTAAAGTGTAAATAGGTACAGTAAATCTATTTTAAAATACCCGTTTAAGGCTTTAAGAAATGCATTTTACCCCTTACACAGCTGACCTTTTACATGGCTGAAAACCCGAATTTTAAAAGCTTATTTACTGAAACACAGCACAGTCACAGAAAATTGTAAAGACTTTGTGTTCACTAGACCACCTAATTACTTTTAGGATTTTAAACTTGTATTACCCAAGTTGAAGAGGAAGGGAGGCAGTTGGTGATAGAACTGTCAACCTTGACCATTCTGCTGCTCATTTAGGGACACATTAATCTTTACTGTATCAACAGCAATGGTTAGTCATCCAAATATCATGTTGACATTCTCAGTTTGCACATTAGATACCTGTGGACCCTGGTAACTGCCTCACATTCTCTTTGTTGGATGACAGAAGGCAGGTATAATTCTGACACGTCACAATATTATCCTAACAGAAACCTGCATTGTTTCTTATAGTTATTATCTTAATGCACATAGGTGGTATCACCATGTAGCTAATCCAGCACCATTTTATTGGTTTTTAGGTTTATGAACATTGTGATGTCAGAAGCAATTTTTATTGACACAAGGGGAGCTGAACATCAATTTAATTCATTCTTCATTCATGCCAGAAACATCCGCTATGTACACATTCCTGATGAGGTATGGTTTTATTTTTTTAGTCCATAAGACAGTGAGGTATATATTTAGTATGGTTAATTAATGGATATGAAATCATCTCAGTTTCCGTGGTTGTTCATGCATTAAACAAAATGAAATGTATGGAAAGTTGTATCACAAAGTTCCCAGATTCTTATTATTGTAACTGCCTCGGTGAAAGAAGATAAGAGAGGAGGCCAAGGTCACACATCCAACAGCCTATTGCATCAGTCTGCCATGTGTCACCATGCTGTGAGAATGCATTATTTTTACATGAGTGCTTTTTTTGACTTCATGTTTCATTTTATCTGAGATAGATGGCAAAATTGAGCAACGTGTCTGCATCAGGTTTGTGTAAAGCTTAGTAAATCTGCTACTGAAACTCTTGAAATGCTTTGTGAGGCTTTTGGAGAACATTCTTGACAGCGGTTTCTGAATGACATTCACATATTAAGGCCGGTCGAGTGTCAGATGAAGATGACAAATGTTCAGGGCGACCAAGCACCAGCAAAACAACAAACAAATGTTAAAAAAAATCAAGAACTCATGCATGAAGACTGTCATCAAACAATCCATGAGCTCACAGAGACCATTGGGATCAGTTATGGAGTTTGCCAGAAGATCTTAACAGAAAATTTGAACATGTGCCGCATTGCTCCATCACGACCATACGCCCACCCACACATCCCTGAAAACCACAGAGTTTGTGCCTAATAGCAACATGGTTATTGATCCCCATCCTCTCTGCTTGCTGTACTTAGCCCCCTGTGATTTCAATTTGTTAGCCAAATTGAAAATGAAACTGAAGGGATGACATTTTGAAAGTGTTGGATGTCCAAAGGGAATTGCAAGCAGTACTCAACAGCATTAAGGAAAATAACTTCCACGGTGCTTTTGAAGTGTGAAAAGGACAATGGGATCACTGTGTACGTTCCAAAGGAGACTATTTTGAAGGAGATGGCAGACAAAATTGAGTAAGTTAAGTCAGCATTCCTTTTTTAACCTAGTCTGGGAACTCTCTGATAGAACCTCATAAACTAAACCTAACTGTTTAACTAACTTCTGGCTGTAGAAACCAAAGGTTCACCATTGGACATTATCCTGTACCAGTTCCATTTATCTCTCATCCTCACAACCTCTTTCCATTTTCTTGCTCTCTGTCATTTCCTCAGTCTTCCACGTTGTTACTGGTGTTTCCTCACAGAAATGCTGCATTAATTTCTTGTGTCAACCATCTGAGTGTCATATCAGTCACAACTTAACCTCCTGTATCTCAGTGTTCTAAAAGTGGGCGAAGCTGTGTCAGGTAGGATGCCTGGCAGAATATTCTGTTTCAGTCTTTGTGTAATTGAGATGGATTTGTGAGCAATCAAAGCTTTAGTTACTCATATTTTCCTTCTTAGTAGAGTGAGCAGGACGTGAAATGGAATTTCTCTTCAGTTGAACTGTTTGTCTGCATCAGTTGCTTGCTCTTGCTCGTACCCTTTTTTCTTGTAGAAATATTTAGGACATGAAGAGTTCTGTCATCTGGGATATAACACCATATAGTCTGTTGAAAGTATACTGATATTTTGTAGGATTTGGAGATACATATCACCTCCATTTTCATGGTTGAAGAGTAAGACAAGCAAAGGGACCAGCATGAAGCAGACGGCAAGCAAAGCTGGTTTATTGCTTGGCTTACTCATCAACTCTGAAGATGGAGGTAACATGTTCCTCTAAACTGTCAGTTGGCTTTTAGTGGACTACATGATTAGACAGAAGATAGAATTCTTCATAATCAACCCTGTGAGAACCTCAAATCCTGTTTAGGACATAATCAAATTTGAGGTTCTTGATTGTGAAGAGTACTGTCATTTGAAATCTAATGCTGTGTAGTCTGGTGGAAGTCAATCAATATTTTAGGGAAATGCACTACTTCCATATTCAGAGTCAAAGAGCAAATCAGTTGAGAAACAAGCCAGGAGTAAGCAACCATTAGAATGTTGTTCTTTATTTTTTGCTTGGCATACTCTTCAGCCCTGAAGCTGGAGTCAGTGTGTTCCTCCAAAACTTTGGTGAACTCCTACCAGATTGCATGACATTACAACTCAGAAGATTCAGTCTTTATTTAGGATATGTTGAATTAATAGGTTGTATCAAAATATGACAGCTACTATCGATTATGTCATTATGGCTTCGTTGAAGTTAGAATCTGTTCATTTTAGAGTCACAGTGGTATAATAGTGTGTCAGAATCTGATGCTGATATTAAAAATAGAAAATTAGTGCACTTCTATGACCATTGTCTGTTAATAAATTACTACCACTACTTATTCGTCTATATTTAGAAGTTGTCATCCACCACCATCATCACAAATTTTCTCTCTTATCATTTTAAAGAGATATGAGGAATGATGAATGGAAGCATCTGCAACTAAAGTGTTGTTTGAAATCATATCTCTCTTTTGTGATTTCCTGCACTATATCAGTCTGCAATGTAAAGACTGTCATTGTGTTGTGTCACGGTAAATAGTAGATAATTGTTCATCGGTAATATATATTGATAAATGGAACAAAGATAATTGAATTTTTTCGTCATAATTATAAAACTGGAGTGAAGAAATTGACACTTGTTAGTTTTGCATTTCACAAAAATCTGAGACTGAAATAAATTGGAAAAGAAAATTGTGTGCAAGGAAATCTGGTCCAAGAAAAGGCATTAAATTGTATTAAAATTCAAGCTTCTTAGATGCATGCTGTTGTATGGCCTTTCAATTGCCAAAAGTTTGGCCTGTGTGCGCTTCGTAATTCGACGTCGTCATTCCACGTGTTCATCTCACTGGGAAACGTCCATTGTATGTAATACAAGCAGTATTAAGAGAGGTCGGCAGATGGTGTGGGCACAATAAGCGGCTATTCACGGACAATACCAAAAAAGGAGGGACAGAGTTTTCATAATAGTAATAAAATATTAGTTCAGAGTTCAGCTATTCACGGAACATTAATAAATGTTTCGTAACAAAGTACTGATATAGGTATTTGAATGAGATTAGCATGCATATTCGACTACAAACACGCTTTTCGCGTATCTACCGTTTGACGTACACCAAGGTCGGCGAGGAAAGAAATCGGATTGGTGGGTTTAAATATCAGCATGAAGTTGGATGCTCTTCTTTGAGTGGCACCGGTAAAATATGTGATCATATAACACGTTCAAGTTTGCAGGCAGTGATGGCAGAACCGGCACTAGCAAAAAATCACAAAGAAAAGCGTGTTTTTAGGTTCAGTGACTATGATTGTATTGGCTTTGATCTTGATAACACATTATGTAGGTATAAACTTACACAGATGGTGAAATTAGAGTACGAAGTTTTAGCAGAGTATTTAGTGACGCAGAAAGGCTATAATGCGGAATATTTGTTGAAGCCGCTGGAAACAGACATAGATTTTCTCCAGAAAGGACTTGTATTTGATTTCCACAAGGGAAACATTCTGCAACTAGGAAGTGATGGCTACATTAGAAAAGGCAGTCACGGTACTCGTTTTATGACTGATGCTGAAATAGAAGGTATTTATGGGCCAGATAGAAAATGGAGTGTGTCAGTAGCATTTTGCCAGAATTTGCTGGAGGCCTGGAATGGCCCAATGTCGGAGAAAATCAGAACACTGTCAGATTATTTTGATATGCCAGCAGCATTAGCGTTTGGAAGAATAGTTGATTCTCTGGACGTCAAAGAGGGAAATAAACTGGAATTTTATAATGTATGGCCAGATGTTTTGGATGGACTTATATACATGTTCAAAAGGGAAAACTTCCATTTAGATACAGGAGGATATTTTTCAGCACTGAAAAGAAATCCAGAGAAGTTTGTTAACAAGTGCAGCAATAATGTTATAAATTGGCTGAAACAAATTAAGCACTCTAAAGTAGTGTTCCTGTTAACAGGATCCCATGTTGATTTTGCATCTTTCACTGCCACAAATTCGCTTGGTGCAAATTGGAGGGATCTGTTTGATATAGTTGTGTGTTATGCACGGAAGCCTGGGTTCTTCACTGGTGCAAAACCTTTTCTGAAGCTGGATGGACTTACAGAAACGGATCCTATTGGTAGTGAAGATTTAGAGTTTGGAAATATCTACAGCCAGGGTAATTGGCAAGATCTGTATCAGTTTTTGGCCAAGAAGACTGGGCTGCAACACCCAAAATGTTTATATGTGGGAGATAATCTCATTCAAGATGTGTATGCCCCATCAGAGTATACAAAATGTGATACTGTTGCAGTGATAGAGGAGCTGGGTGCAGAAGGAATGTGTGGTGATGACACTTATTTTCACAGCGATGCTTCGATCATTGTTTCAGAATGTTGGGGTTCATATTTTGGAGGCAAAGAAGAACAGCGTGATGGAAGCAGCTTGTGGGGTATTATTACAAAGAAATATTCCAAAATCTGTGTGCCAGACTTAGATGTACTTGCCAACCTACCCTTAACTAATGAATTTCACATGTTTTCCCAACGAGAAGATGACTCTGATCTTTTGGGTTATTATCCTGGTTGCCCAAAGAGTTTGAAGCAAACATAAATCCAGTTTATTGTACTGTAAGATTAGTTCTCAGAGTGGAGGAAGATATGTATGCTGTTAACTTGTGGTTTGGGAATATTATCTTTGGACATTGTTTATTGGCTGAATGAAAATAAATTAAGTCCTTATTACTATAGTCCATTCGAGGAGACGAGAGAGTCCTCGTAAACAAATGCACGCGGTATCTCCTTCGCTCTTTGAATGAAATCATGCAGCGATCACATGATGCGTGTCACGTTGCAGGGGCATCCAAAGTTCACTCTTCAGTCTGAATGCAGGTTAACGTGTGTCCGAATGCAGTGAGTACACTGAAGTAACTGTGCGCTTTGTCCACTCCTTGCTGTCAGCTGTGGCGACGCGGGGCTTGCTTTGTTTACGCTAACTGTCTCGTCTCTGCGAATGGACTATAGGTTTATTAATAACAGTGCTGGACTTTGTTAGGAGTATTCTGACAGTGATGTTAGATCATTGACACAAACTTTAGAAGAGCAGCTAGATACAGTGCTTGGTCGCAGTGCACTCAGATGTGATACAACATAATGTTTCTTTAGCTGTGAGTGTGAGACTAATGTGAAAGCAGTGTGGTTATTTTTTTGTAAACGATTTCAATTTGAAATATAAATATATATTTATTTATTTTACAAATGCATTATTTGCAATTTATGTTTATTTATTGAAGATATAGACCTACTATTTGCAAAAGTAATCATGCTGCAGTGCATGTTAGAAATTACTTCTTGTTTCAGTTCATTAAATTTACCACATCAGATATGTATCCAATAAGTGCTGTAGAATTTTAATCAGTGACATTGGATGTATTATTTTTTTTTGTGACGATCCTTTATATAAAGTTGATGTGAGGTGAATTTTGATTTGAACTTCTTGTAATGTGGGTGTAATCAGACCAGTATGAATGAAAATTGAATTCACCAAAGCGCTTCTACCCCCTGAACATGAAATTTCATTGAAATCTTAGAGGCACGAAACATGGATATCCACCTGACTTGGATTCATTTTATAATATTGTTAAAAAAAATTGTAATCAGAGATGAAATCTGAAGATTACTATTACTGCCTTTTGTGATTAACATCCTGTGGTATTGTGTAAAGCTTTCAGTGAAATGTGTCTCCATCTTCAGAGCAAAGGGCTCACGAGCTGCTGAATGGATTTTTATGTAATTTATATCAGAGCGTTCAACTAGAATTTATTGACACATTCTAGTTTTGTTTAAAACCATACAACAGCAATGGACAATTTATCTGGAGACCTATGTGCATTTTGTGCCCAGCTCGAATGTAAATGTTTATTAGAGTGTAAAACGTTTTGATCAAGAATCGTAGTTAACAGAAGGAGCAAACCTCATGTACACCACTCTTTCCATATGTTTTACACACTAGAATTTTAATGCCAACATATACATGTGTCAATTTGAACACAGCCCTGCAAGAAAAGCCTTTTGTGATTGTTGTAGATGTTAGCTAAGTTTGTCTTTTCTGTTATAGAAAACTTAATTCACCATTGTTTCAGCAGTTCTTGATGCCATTTTGTATTTAACAACACTACGTTTTGCTACAGTGATGTCACTACAATGGCTGTAGGATTTGAGGTTCTTAGGGGTTTCCCCCCTCCCTCTATGGTATAACATGTAGCCCATTGAAAGTCAACTGACATTTCAGAGGAGTACTCTGTGTTTGCTTGCCATATTCTTTAAACCTGATGATGAAGGTAGTATGACCCTCCAAAACTTATATCAACTTTCAAGGGACTACGTGGTGTTATATTGCAGAAGATAGAACTTTTCATATTCACGGATGTTGCTGGCCCCTTTTCCCATAAGATATGCAGACATTTTTATTTGCTGTTTTCATGGAAAAAGTTGCCCTTGCATTGGGTAATACAATGAATGTTACTTTAGGATGTACTTGTAGATTCTAAAAGGTTCTGACAGTGGTGGATGACAGACAGAATTACTTGGGTTTTGGACTTTTCCATTGTCCAGAATTCTAGGTAATAGAGGACAGAATGTTTCGGAAACTGGATCTGTTTCTGTCTAGAGGTGAGAAAAGAAGACACCTATTCAGTTGGCCCCTTAGAAAGAGATAATCTCAATCACCGATCCGGACGATGGAAAAAAGTCCCAAACCTCAATAATTCTGTAGGATGTGCTTGTTTCAAAATATTGCTTACTATAATTCTGTTAAGTTCAGCACAGCTAATTTTTTCTAGCTCCCAATTGTGCCAACTATTAAGAATCACCTTAAGAAAATGAGCCACAGACCTCGCAGAGTTGAACTAGATCCGAAGAAGAATTGGAAGGCAAAGAGATGTATACAAAAGCAGCAGGAGACTTTGAAGGAAGTTCAGCGTTTGAAAAAAGGAAAGAATATAGAACAAAGTGAAAGTAAACAATAAGCTTTATTCTCTTTAAATGCATAATGTAAAATTATGTAATAAGTACATCAGTCACATTTGATAAAAAAGAGTTTAATATATACAGGATAGTTGCTTGTGATTCACGTGTGCAGTAGCGTTAGGAACAAACAACTTGATAAGTTGGGCTGGTTTTTCTTTGTCATGAACACACATTATGCTGTACAGCAGATATTTTGTTTAAAGGCACATATAATGTTACTTATGAAAAGATTCAAGTTCCTTCATTTCTTGTCTTCTGAGATCGTGTTTCACTATTATTTTTTAAACATAAGCCCTGGAACACATGGTCAGGTGATAATTTCTCATTGTGCATGTCTACACATTTACTATGTAAGAAACAGGCCGCACCATAGCTCAAGTGGTCAGTCGCTGGCTTCTCACTGCGGCGGCCTGCGTCTGGACAAAGTGACACTGGGGCAGGTTTTCTCCAAGTACTTCGGTTTCACCTGCCAATCTTCATTCCACCAATTGCTCCAAAATCACCCTTACCCATCATCTGCGGCTCATACGATAGGCCAGAAGTGGCCGCAGTACAAGGGACTTAGTCCCACCCCACTAGCAATAAAAAAAGTAAGAAATATATTAAAATGAAGATAAATGCATGCTGTTTTGGTTTGAAATTTTAAGTGTATCAAGGATATTCAGTAATTATATATTAAAGAGTGACCAAGTAATTTTGAAACTTACTGCCATCCTACTATTGCCACTGTGGAGAATGCTGAAGATGGATTCATCATCTGTTCGGATAGTTTGCACAGATACAAGATAAAGAACCTGGATGATGTGGGTTTAGAGCACTGAAAGTCAACTACAAGTACAATTTTGTCAATCCACCAAGTGATTTATGCACAAAAAATGTGAAACAGATGTCGAGATCATGCAAATGGCATACCAAGGGGCACCGCTTGCCACTATCCAGTCTTACATGGCAGAGTCAGCTCTACAGCAGAGTTCCTTCTGATGTCATTGTGGACATAATCAAGCAGTACTGGCTGCTGGAGAGAATTTTTTTTCTGAATAAACTCTGTGTAAAAAGGCACAGAAATTGTTCAAAAAATTCTGAACCACTCAATACACAGATACCATTTCTTTTTTGTTAAAGCTTTTAATACTTCTTGTATTGTCTGCTTATCAGTATGGTATCACACAGAGATATGACTTGGAGAAACTTATTATTTTTCAGATTACATGACCACTTCCTTCTGCATCCTTTCCAATTCATTAAATCGTCCTATAATTCGATGGTATGTAACCTAAGATACTGACAGTGATAGACATTAGGTTTTTTTAAGGGATCCAACAGATTCTCTCTCCCACCCCCTCATCCAAGGATGGAAAGAGATCCAGTTATTTTGTGTTCTAATGTTTTTATAAAAATATCCAACGTGTGTCAGTATAATACACCCTATCATCACAAACCTCCAACACTTATCTTAGTTCAGAAGTTACAAGAGACAGAAACAAATCACAAAACCTTTTGCTGCATACTGCCTGTTCTGCAAACTGCAGCATCATGCCTTCTCAATGTGAAGTCAAGATGCATTCCTACTAAGAATAATGAAAATAGGTTAAGAGAATTTGTTTTGATAGGAGTACACAAAAGTTGATTTGTAAGTTGTCATTTATGTCAATCCTAGAGACTTTATATCCTCAGCTACGTTTTTAGCATAACAGCAGTTTGATTTGCACGGTGGTTTTCTGTATGTTTTTTTTTNGGGGGGGGGATTCACTGTCAGTGGTCAATTTTTATACAGTGCATACAATCACAGTCCCCAATCCTAATCTGAAAGTTCTTGCTGCAGTCAGGAAGCTTACATTTCTATTGGACCTATAAACTGAGTTCATAGTATCTAATATCTGATACTACTCTAACAGTAGAAAGTGATGGATGGATCAATTCAAGTTATCCTGGGATCATAACAGGCCTAAAGACCAATCCTTGAAATGATGAACAGTACAGGTAGTCAATGTAAGTAATGTGCATTATGCTTTATAAGGGCACAACTCTTGCTCAAGTGGTCAGATCTTCATTTTCTGGATCATTAATATTAATGCATATTATGCAATAAAATATATTTTATATTTTTAATCTTTATTGGCGGTGAACTTCTGATAAAGAACTTAGAAGCTGAAAATAAAATGTAGAAATATATGTATTATTAAAAATGGAATATTTTACATGGGTAATACTCTGATACATTTAATACTAAATTACCTGATGTACCAAATACTTCATAGATTTTCTGTATCAGACATTATAATACTAATCTTGATCAGAAATGACAAAAGCACAATTTAGCACTGCTCCATGCACAAAGTAACTCCCATTCTGAAATGCTTAATACTAAATTATGTGACATACCAAATACTTGACACATTTTCTATGTCAGACATTATACAATACTGATCATCTTAATCAGAAATGACAGAAGCATAATGCACAAGCTAGCACCGCTCCACACATAAAGCAACTCCCATTCCGCCTCCTACACAGAGGGCTGCCACTCCCCGCTTTCCTCCTGTCCTTTCAAGGGCATAGAGCAGCGTCACAAGTATGCGGGTTCCTAAAGAACAAACAAGTATGCAACATTATTACTAAATATAAGGGAAGGAATTTAATCCTCATCTGCCTGAGCCCTAGGGTAATTTTGAGTTTTCCAGTGCTGCACTGCTGTGTTCTGTGAGTGTTCAAATATCAAATATAGCGGAAAGGTAAAAAAGTATGCTATCCCTGTAACAGCCATGTTAGTTGGGTCCCTTGTCACCATGGCCATAGTGTGGCTGGATTGGTTTAATTCAAAAATCCAATGACATCAGGAATTGAACCCATGACCTTCCAGCTTGTAGCATAGTGCCTCAACCAACTATGCTACCGCATGCCCCCACAGTAGGAAGACTTATTTACTTACTCAGGAAGCTGAGCCCTTCTGGAGGAGCCACCAATTCTGCATCTACTCAAGAATTTCCCAGCATTTTATTATTTTATTTTATTATTTTATTTCATTACTGTGTTCACAAGAGCCCTCCACTGGTCCCTATCCTGAGCCAGATCAATCCAATCCATACCATCCCATCCTATCTCTCTAAGATCCATTTTAATATTGTCCACCCACCTATGCCTTGGTCTTCCCAGTGGTCTCTTTCCTTCTGGCTTTCCCACCAATATCCTATACGCATTTGTCTCCCCCATTCGTGCTACATGACCTCCCCACCTCATCCTCCTTGACTTGATCATTCTAACTATACTTGGAGAAGAGTACAAGTTATGAAGCTCCTCATTGTGCAGTTTTCTCCAACCTCCTGTCACTTCATCTCTCTTCGGTCCAAGTATTCTCCTCAACACCCTCAGTCTATGTTCTCCAAGTGCCACACCCATACAGAACCACAAGCAAAATTATAGTTTTGTATATTCTAAATTTTTTATATTTTTGGACAGCAGACGAGAAGACAAAAGGTTCTGGACTGAATGGTAGCAAGCATTACCAGAGTTCGATCTCCTCACACATGCAAAATTCAGATAACCCCAATTTTTTTTTATATTATATTTACTTCTTGACCAAAGCTCTGCTGCTTCTAGGATTACAGTTGCTCTGATTATCAAATTACTTCTTTCAGTGCTTATTTCATATATCATTAGTTTAAGAAAAAGCCATTCATCCAGTCATTCATTAAATAGGGATTTCACTGTATTTTGAAATACAGTGAAACCCCTCATTTTTGCAGTTGGAATTTATATCAACCTATAATTTACATGGTTCTGTTGCATCTCGTCTTACATTTTATGTATTTTCTGTGATGTATGTACTTTGCTTAAGTGGTTGCTTCTTTTATCATTTTATTTTTAAAACTCTGGTTTCAAAACTAGTAACTCCATGGTTCAGATTTTAGGACTAATAAACAGGCAGCATAAGAAGGTCGTGGAAGATGATGTCGGCGGTAAATAATGTCTGTCAGTGGGCATACAGGTTCATGAGCATAGAGGACCAGGAATGAGGACATTAGATTTGGACAGTGCTGTTACACAGGAGAAGCAGAAGTGATGAGCTATAAGCTGCAATATATATGCTAAGCAATATGCAAATCTGTGATTAAGTGTTGACTGCAATGCACTGCATATATTATAAGCTGAAAGTATTGAAGTTTTAAGAAAGAATTAAAAGTTTTGTACCTGATGCCGCTATTGGATGACCCAAAGCAATTGCACCACCGCAAATATTTACTTTATTTGAATCAATGCCAAGTTCTCGTAAAACTGCAACAGATTGTGCAGCAAATGCCTCATTGAACTCAAATAAGTCAACATCCTCCTTATTCCAGCCTGCTTTCTTCAGCTAAAAAATAATATAGAAGTATTAATTGTTCTATCTAAGATAATCCTAAAATTACTAGCAATTTATCATCACACACAGTCTGTGCACTTTCACAAACTCTACCTCTACTACATAGAGGAATGGAAACAATTCTGAGAATCTAGCAGTTATAAAAATATTTTGGTTGTCTGAAAAAGGTGAATTGGTCCTTCTGGTGCCTCCCTGTGCCACTCCTGCTGGGCACACAAGATTAATTTTTTTTGTCTGCCCTAAATATCCATGGATTCTCGTGTACAATTTCAGAAATGATGACAAACCGAACAAAAAGAATGCGGTTGCATTGTTCTGGACAGTAACAAGGTTGCAACACATACACCAAAGTTCACTGAACGGAGTAGAACAAATGCTAGCGACTGAATACTGTGTTCGGAGCCAGACTACCAGAATTCCAAATGCCAGTTGCTGAACGCTCAGTTTGAAATTAGTTATGTTATATTTTAGCGTCCTGTTGCACTGATTTATGTCCATGATTTATTCTGACCGTCTTACAGTGCATACATTTATTCACCTTACTCTTTTCTCTTGCACTACATGTTTCAGCACTAAAGTGCCGTCTTCAGGTGCTTTTCAATGTACGTTGAACTACTTCATTGCATGCCCTGTTGTCTTTATACTAAAATAACCAAAATATATATTCGTCATATATATTGATAAATTTTAAATATTTAAAATATTAAAACTGTTCAGGATTTGTCATCCTTATGTCGTATCTCAATACGCGATTCACACCTATCTTCTTCTATCGGAGTATTCTTCCTACTTTCATGTGTGTATTGTGCTTTNAAAGCACCTGAAGATGGCACTTTAGTGCTGAAACATGTAGTACAAGAGAGAAGAGTAAGGTGAATAAATGTATGCACTGTAAGACAGTCAGAATAAATCATGGACATTGAAATTAGTTGCTAGCCAGTATTTTTCAGCTGCCACTGACAACAGTGTTTTCCAGCTCCTGACTACATACATCATTAAAACACCGTAAAATTCAAGAATCTGCATTTTTTACAAATTAAAAACTTACAACTAAAGTTAGTGCTGGAACAGGTCCTATTCCCATGTATGCAGGATCCACACCCACTTGGGCATATGCAACCACTCTGGCAATAGGAGTAATACCTCGACTTTTAACTACATCGGCTCCCATGAGGACCACGGCAGCTGCAGCATCGCCATATGTAGAAGAATTACCTGCTGTTACAGTACCACCATCCTGTAACATTACAACCTTCTCTTACCCAAGCTCACTCACACACACACACACACACACACACACATATATATATATATATATTGTGACGTCACTCGCAAGACCGCAGAGTTCACGTGACCCCTACTTCCTGTTGCGCCATCCACATCGCAATATATATACACCTATATTTGTAAACCTGGCCTGTCCATTTGTAGTAACATGACAAGTTAAGTATGCAATTCTGTTTCCCTGTACACCCCAAAGTGGCACCAAAACATCATAGTCACTGGGTTTATTGAACACAGTCAGTCACCCAGATGTATCAGATGATTGGATGACAGTGATTAATGAATTTCAAAGGATTTGGAAGGAAGCGCTCAAGACCTCATTTAAGAATCTACCCTGAGATTCACCTGGATTAAGGAAAATCATGCAAAACATGTCATTCAGAATTTTCTGTGTGTGAAAATAGATTTGCTATAGCACTTCATAAATATCAATTGGTTTATAAAGAGAGGATGATACGTTAAACACACGTTCTGAATGGGTTATATGATTTTGAGACTGAAGAGAAGGATGGAGACAACACAAGACGCAGCCGTCAGACAGCCTGAAGACTGATCCAAATGTCAGAGGAAATGAATAAAATGGCGAGAAATGACCATTCATAAGACAACAGCAAATGGAGCATCACTGAAGAAACAGAGTTGAGTCAGAGTAACTTATTATAGTGATTATTATATTTACCTTTTGAAAAGCTGGTCTCAACTTCTTGAGAACTTCTACTGTAGTGCCATGTCGAGGAGGCTCATCTTTGTCAACCACAACTGAGCCTTTCTTATCATTTACAGTAATTGGAATGATTTCCTTATCAAAATAGCCAGCTTTCTGTGCATGCTCTACTCTCTGCTGAGATTCTGCAGCAAATTTATCTTGATCTTCCCTTGAAATTTCATATTTCTTAGCAATATTTTCAGCTGAAATTAAAAGTAGCATACATAGAAATTACAAAATGTAATATCAATTTCAACATTTCTATACACCTTACACAAAATTGACTGCTTAACAGAAAGTGAAATTCGGGAAGAAACAATTGGTCATCAAGTCCTGTAACTCCAGGAAGTTCTGTTCATGGTAATAATTTGTCTCTCACTTCTTGTAAATACATTTTCTTTATTCATGAACCTTTCAATGTGAGCATTCTTTTAACCTTCAAAACAGTGGTGTTAAGTACATATACCATCCACTTTAACATTAAAAAAGGAAGCAAATAAAAAAATTCTGTGCAATTTATTTATGCATTCTGTATAATTCTTCTTCATGGTATTTATAACCTCACCCACTGAACATCACGATTGTGTGGGTAGTACACAAACTTCATATCTGGGAGGGCTTGGATTATAATTTTTGATAAGTCTGTATACTGGCTATTCTGACAGCAGTCTTCCTTAGTCTCTTCCAGGCAAATGCCAGGATAGTTCCTCAAATTAGGCTACGACTGCCGCCTTCTACATCCTTTCCAAGTCATTATTCACTTATCACCCTACCACTAAGCACAATACACTTTGAGCTACTTACAGCATCATTAAATAAACCATAAACAGATATTCTTACCTAACACATTACCATCTACAACACAAACTGTGCATGTTTCAGGTCATTCACATCTAGACCTTCAATACAATATGAAAACTTCCTCTGAAGGTTCAGTAGTAAAGACAGAATGCAAAAGTACTAGTATATCGAAGTAGATCTAAGTTTTAAGATTTGTTCTGGGTGGAAAAGATGAGAATTAAGAATGCACAATTTCCTTGGTGCAGAACAAAAATAAACAAATTTCTTTATGACAAATATGTTTATTATATGCAATAGGCACTTACAAAACTTTTATGATGCCCCCATAAGCAGGGTCCTACACTTTTTTAAAAGTGTAGGATTAATAAAGGGCTAATCCAAGGGAAGTACAATAGATCACTGAAGGTCGCAGTGCCAGGACCGGTTTTCATGGCCCACCCCTTACATACATACATATTATAGGCAATAGGCACTTACAGACCTGCACATACTGCTGGTTAGTTTCACAAGCAATAAATGAAGAAGTTATTTTATGTTGGATTTGAGGTTCTCACAGCGGTAACTACGAAGGCATTAGCCTTCAGAGACTTAACTCTGCGTAGCACAGTGAAAGTCAACCAACATTTTGGAGGAATATATCATGTTCATTTTTAAGGTTATGGGGAAGCCAAGCAAAGAAAAAAAACCCATGAAGCACATGATATGTTCCTCCAGAACATTCACTGACTCACCAGACACACAGTGTCACATTCCACTTACTTTTAAATATGAGATGCAGCAATAAACCATCTCAAACTGCTAATCTGTATGGGTTCATACTAAGAAAGGTACAGATGATACATCGTAATCTATGCCTCTTTAAGAATGAAATATTCATTCATTCATCAGTAATCCGTCAAGACGACAGGTCCACAGTCTCCTCCAAAACAGCTCCCCCACCCGATGCGATCCAGAGCTCTCTCCTTCAAATGAAACATCTCGCATACATGGTATCTCTGGTTTTGGAAAGAGACTATCCAGGAAAAGTGATAATGTGGTAGTTTTTCCATTTGCTTTCCACATCGCAGTACAATAGGCGTTCAAACCACTCTGGTCACGCCTGTTGCTATACGAGCTTGAACCATCTCGAGCATTATTTACTCTGTGCTTCAAGTCGCTGCTGATGACGCTGCTTCCGGCATCAGTTTTTGGTGTCTCTCTTCGTCTGATGCCTACCCTTTGACCTGTCCAGCAAGGGAGGCCCTGCCAGTAGCTACGCTACCGCTGGTATAGCTCTCAGGGTCCTTGGCATACTCAAACCCCCTCACCACGATTAGGTGGAGCCACCAACGAGGGGGGAATGAAATATAACAATATTTAATTAAAATTATGTTTTTTTTTTTTTGGATGTGACATGCTGCAGTTTGGTTTGGTGCACTGGTATCTGCTACCACAATCTTCAGGATAGTTTTACCCTGCGGATGGAGGCAGCTGGTTTCATTAAAATCCTGGTACCAATCTACCACTTACATGGCGTCATATCTCAGAAGACCATAATCCTCATACTCACCGCTGTGAGAACCTGAAATTTTATAATTGTTTTAATCAGTCTGTCTAGGATAGAGTACAGAAGATTATCAACTGTGTGCTGTGCTCCTGAACTCACTGTGCAATGGAGATCTGCTTTAGCATGCAGTGAAAGTTGTGAACTGCATACACACATTACCGGTATTGCCCATCAGAACACCAAGAAAGGCATCTGTAAGAACATCATGCACCACGGAATCAGTCAGCTGTTGATGTCCGTTCATTCCTTGTCTCATAAAGACGGTGTGATGGGCCTGGCTCATTGATTCCTGTCCGCCACACACCACTATGTCAGAATCACGATTCATGATTGCTTGAGTGCCTAAGTGTACAGTCCTGTAAGAATCATTTATTGGATTCCAGTATGAAGATTCTGGGATAATATTAAAATAAAAATCAATAGCAAAGTGATACCAAATCTGAAGATCACTCTCTTCCAAGATGTGATGCCATGCAGTGTGGCAAACAGTTATCAGTATTTCAGAGGAACCTGCTGCTTCCATCTTCAGAGTAGAGAAATATGCCACATGTAGAAAAAAGTCAGCGATATGGGAAAAGAAGACGATAATTGGGCTTAAACACAAAAAGTTCATTCATTCATTCATTCATTGTTGGAGGAGGTGGGTTTCCCCATGCACTTAGACCAGTTATTGGTCCATTGTGCATCCCCCTTTAATTTCTACTGTCTCCATACCCTACTGGTACTGGTGCCCATTATCAGCCCCTTTCTGCCAGCGAGGTCGGCCCTCTACTGGCAATCTGATAATTAGGCCCTTTCCGTCAGTGAGGTCGGTCCTCATCTGGCAGTGGTACCTAATACTTTCCCCATCTACCGGAGGCACTGGAAACTACTTGGGCAGGAAAATTTGCCTAATTTAGCTTGGAGGTCTCCTAGAGACATGAGGTTCTTTTACATGCCATAAATCTACGACACGGGACCCACGGCTTAAAGTCCCTCCCGAAGGACTTGTTCCCTGAATTTTTTCTGCCCTTAAAAATTCCACGACCTCCACCAGGTTTGCACCCGCGTACCTTGAGTCATGAGGTGGGAACGTTACCCCTAGACTACGGAGGCCTCTTGAACACAAAACGTTGGTACTGTATACCAAACTACACGGTGTCACACCTCAGAAAACAAATGTTCATGCAAATCTGCAGAGCATGCAGTGCTTAAGACTACTCAGGCCTATCTCATCCGCCAGTTAAACAGGTACCCTGTGAATGTGCCTGGAAAGATATAAAAAAATATTCCTTTATAAATAGGACCATCCAGCTCTGGAACCAACTATCTGCAGATGCTTTAGGGACTGTCTCCTGCAAATCAAGTAATTTTAGGAAAAGGGTTAGGAAAGTAATAAATAAGGTGTGGGAGAAATCGTCCAAAAATATAGTGAAGTGTAGTGAACTGTGGTGAGGATGTGAAGGGTACGTAAGTGTAGTGAAGTGGAATGAAGGGAAGGCCATGGTGAAATGTGGGTGCATCAGATTATGACATTATGTATTCCATTACTGTTACTGTTTAGTGTATACTATACTTATTTTTTATTAATATTAATTTATTTAATTGTAGCTGTAATTGTATTTGCATTGTATTCATTGCCCTTTATTGTCTGTGTAGTTTTGTGTGCTGTGTTTTGTTTGAGTGTGGTGTGTTATTTTGTGTTGTGTATTGTGTCTCACTGTAGTATCACTGCCACCAGGAAAAATCCCATTTGCAGTTTAAATAAATAATAACAATAATAATTAAACAATTGTGGTTTCCTAAATAGTACCATAAAGCATTTTCTTGATGTTGTATTTGTAGCCCTACTACTTTAGGTTTGTTCTGATTTATTGGGATTTTCCTACTTGTTTTTCTCCCATTACCACATTTGATGCAGGTATGAAATTTATGAACTCTTGTAATATAATTTGCAACAAGTCAGTTATATCTCACCATGGTTCAACATGAACATAAAGAATGCTCACAGCTGATTGGTTATAAGAACAAGCATGCAATGATTTATGGAAATAAACTGTGCAATCCTTATCATGGTGGCAGTCTTGCAACAGATTCTGTTTATGTTAATTCACGACTCATTACAAGCTGATTGTCAACTGGCTAAGTGATTGCTTGAACGAAATTTTGCAACTCTCTGATAAACCTCTCTGTACTTGTTTCATACTTTTATTTAATTCTTCAGGCAATGTACTGCCAATTTTTGTTGCACTTTCAGTTTTAGATTTCCACATTCCTTTGCACAATTTACAACTTCTTTAGCAAAATATCCGTATCTCAAAGTTTTGGCATGTGAACTATGTGAATACTATGTTGAATTTGAGGTTCTCATGGCAGTGACTATGAAGAGGGTGGTCTTCTGGTTTGTTAACACTGTGTAGTTCGGACACAGATCAACGTTTCAGAGTAACATTTCACCTCCATCTTCAGGGTAAAAGAGTAAGTAAAGCAAGAAATCACCAGAAGCAGGTGGTACATTCAACTGAAACACCAGGCTGGGTCTGAATTACACGGCATCCGAACACAAACGACAGTATTTTCAATTTACAATGTTATATATTAGACTGAGGTTATGAAAACTATATGGCTGCGTAACTGTGAGATAAGACATTATTTTCATTTTCTTCAACAAAATTTAAAACCATCATTTGAAACTAGTTCTCTAACCATTATATTTCCGAGTGTTTAACACAATTCCAAATTGTTACTTATGGCTGCTAATATGATGATACACATGCCACAGAACATCTTGACCGTACTGGGAACAATAAAGCTCACCATATGTAACATATGTGATAGGAAAGTATCAATGACATGTTCAAACTGATAATGTGTAAATCAGGATGCAAGCAGTTTGAAAAAGTGCTCATTACATGATCAATTACTCATAATCAGTCTTCTTTTTCTTCAGCTACACATAATGGCAAACTTGTAAAAAGTCATTAAGTCACACATCTGCCACTGTATTGGACACTTTGACCTTTAGGCTAAATCCGAATATAAGGGTACTGGCAAATATATTCTTGAAGAAAAGAAAAACGCTGCTTATAATCATATACACTTAACCAAAAGTTAATGGTAAAAATACAGTATTTAATTTTATCTTCCAAAATATTTTGTCTAAAAGTAGGGGTGAACAGATTATATGGAAGTGTAAATTAAGTAGATGTAATATTATTAACAGTCTCATGAATAAGCACATACTTAATTCCAGATCCACAAAGCAGATTGATAAGGCAGGCCGGAACAGTGACAGGAATGCCAGCACCAATTGCAGCTTGTCGAGCAGGATTCTGGCCCTGTCCTGCTGTTGCTGCCTGCAACAGAAACGCAGTATTTCAGTACCCAAATGGTAGCCATGTTGGATTTGTCTGCTTGTGCAAGTCACAGATCTACTATCCATTCATGCATACAGAACCGTATCAGACAAACTAATTTCTGAACACTAGCAGTCCATAGATGTTTACATAATTATTTTACTCTTATTACCAATTTAAACATGTAAATATTTAGTTTTCACCTCTATAAGGGATAAGAATCACAATTCATAGCAGGCCTGTGCAAATCTCAGGTGCCAGGTTACAATTTTCATGATGGCACTTGGATATTTTTCCCTGTTATAGTATTACTAGTGCATGACATCAAAGATGACGGAAAATACAATTTATTTCTAGATCGCATTAAGTGGAGGAATTGTTTTGGAAGAGACTGTGGACCTGTCGTCTGACAGATTACTGATGATGATTATCCTTTTTTTTCTGTCTCCTTCCCTCCTTTTTCCTTTACTGTTTTTTTTCGTCCTTCTTATATGTCCATCCTATGAACAAGCCTTTTCACCTGAATTCCTCCCACTCTTTCCTCTTACCATGCTGTACTCCTATATCCCTTTATCTTCTCTCCTTTGTCCCATATTCCTTTCCAGACTCTTTTATTTCTCCATTCTATCACAATTTTTTTTCCCCATATCCTAGCAATATGAAGAATTTATTACCAAACAGGCTCTCTATTGTGCCACAAACATATGGTTAAGTAAGGTTTGTTTTCTTTACAACTTCCATAAAACAGAAGAAAATATGCTAAATTTCAGAACCCTTGAAAAAATCATGGCACACTCGAGTGTGCTAGTGGATGAGAAGGGTATGATGTGTTTTCTTCCATGAGTTGTGTCTTTTTTAACATACTGTATATCATGTCTAGCTGGTCACGGTAGCCGAGCAGTCTGAGGCATTTACTGTCTTCGCTTGCTCGGAAGCCGGGATCGTGGGTTCAAATCCCACACAAGGCATTGATGTTGGGGTGTGTGTGTGTATGCATTTATTCTGTTTGTGTTGTCCTGAATTTAAGTGCAGGCCTTGCGACGAGCTGATCACCTGTCCAAGGAGTCCTACCATCTGTAAAAATGATCATGAAACTGATAAATCAGCCCTATGCTCCAAAGCGTGAGCAAGAGGAGAAAAAAAAAATTCAAGTCTATGTGGACATGAATTAGAAGAGTGGGTGTTCATATTTTTATAGAAAATAAATCAGAGGTGTGTGGGAAAACAGGAGTGATTTTATTTCAGGGTTAAAGATGAGTGCATAAAATGAAACTCTCCCAAGTTCTTTAGGTAGTTGGATCAAGGAAAGAACAAATATAGATTTTCCACTGCTCTACCTCTTCTCTGAGTGCCTTCCCCATTCCCACCAGATATTTTTATTGTGGCTATCATCCCACCTCTTTACACTCTTGGTTTGTTATTCTGTTAACAGAGGGAAAGTGTGCAGTATAAATAGGGCAGTGTCAGGTAGATGACTTGAACTCATACTGTGTTTAACTTTGTTGAACCGAATATAGTTATTAGAAAGATGGAGAACCTCAGACCCTACAGAAAAAGCAGTAGTCTGTAAGTAGTAGGGCAGGGTAGAAGCTACAGTGTTAAGTACCAACAATTTTAATCCAAATAATTGTAAATAACTTTTTAGATAAAAACTCGTGTATTATATACTTTGTAATGTAATAGTAGTTCCTAAACATGTTGACCTCATACCTTCTGAAGACGGTCGCAGTTGACCAAAACATGTAAAGGTAATAAATATCTACAAATTGAATCACACTGGATGGTGTTATCAATTATTCTATAATTTAACAACAATTATACCTGTCCCAAAATGACCTCTGTCACTTCCTCAGGCTGTACTTTAGCTCTGTTGAGAGCCTCCCTGATGACAAAACTTCCTATTTCATGTGCTCTGAGAGTTGACAATGATCCTTTATATGAACCTGAAACAGATTTTGAAATAGACTGTACCATTGTGCTCAATTACATATAATACTACAAAATGAATACTTAAAAAAATGCCACCAATGAAATAGTGCTGTGTTGATGCTGTTTACTCTTTATGAGAGGTCTGATTTCTCACAACAGTGACTAAGAACAGTGTTATCTTCTGGATTGTGATGCAGTGTCATCTGGTAGTAGAAGTTAATTGACATTTTTGAGAGACCACCTTCCTCTGTAACAGTGGTGAAATGCAGATCACTAATGAACTCCATGGAGCTGAGTCCTCCTTGAGATGTTAATAGTTGCTCGTCTACTTGAAAAATTCCTGGCATTTCATAGATCCAAAGGTTCAGTACTGTGCTCACAAAAACTCACAGCTGATACCTATCCTCTGACAGATTTGTCCAGTCCACACCCTCAAACCATATTTCTTCAAGATCCATTTTAATATTACCCTTCCATTTACGCCTAAGTCTTCCTAGTAGTCTCTTTCCTTCAGGCCTCCACATAAATATGTTGTATGCAGCTTTCAGCTTTCACATGTATGGTACATGTCCCGCACATCTCAGCAAATTATGAAGCCCTTCAATATCCAGTTTTCTTCAGCCTCCTGTTCGCTGCTGTTAGTTCATCCCTCTTCGTCCAAGGATCCTCCTCCTCTCCTCAGTACCTTGTTCTGCTTATTCAGCACATTCCTTACTAGCTACATATCTTACTTTATGAAACGCACATTACCAAATTCAAATTAATCTCAGTGAACACTAATGAAAGTGGCAATAACAAAATAGATAATGCAAAGTCTACATTAGTAGAAATTTACCCGTTGGTGATCTCACAGCTGAGACGATAAAAACCTCTCGATCACTCATTCTGAAAAACTCTGATACTAACTGAAGTATACTACCACTCACACCTGAACCCAGTCGCACACTACTTAATTCTAACGATTTCTCCAACGGAATTGCCTACGTGACGTCTCCCAGCCCTCACCGGTCCTCACTCTCGTCTTCACAGGTCTTCTTACACAACGCACACGTTTGACACGTGGGTGTAAAAGGGGCCTGAGGGAGTGGGGGGGCGAAGCACCTGGTCTTCGCAGCGTAGCATTTATTTGTTAGTTACCCATAGTGCAGTTGGGTAAGTGACTGGTGCTAAGATGGCTGACAGCAAGGAGGGGATTTCGGGGCTCCAGGAAAAAACAGGTAAACAGACGTTTCAGTTTTGAATAATGTATCAATTGAGTACTGTAGACATTCGTCTGGATTTGTTATACAAAGAGTTCGGCTTCAAGTTGATTCACCTTTTTGTTTCTGAAGTAGGTGTGATGACGTCTTTCTCTCGTGTTAGACATCTTTGTACCATAATAAGTACGTATATTTAAACACATTTCCTTCGGAGGATGTGTAGAAAATATATTTTTCATTGAACTTTGTGGTGCGAATCGAATATTCTTATAAATACTGCTTTGATTTTTGTTTAGCGTCAATTATAACTGGACAGTTCCAAGTTTTAAAGGACAGATGTGGCCTTTGGGTTGGGCAGATACATGCTTGAGCACTTAGCTGGTATTTTGATTCCGGCAAGATTAAGATAAGACATCGGGTGACAGTCATCAAAGATTAGTTTGCGAGAAATATGCCAAAATGAGGATGGTAGCATGTGTAATAAACATAGTAGATGCACATAAAGTTTGATACACATTGCATATGTTGCGGTCAATACATGAATGATAAATACGGATGGACCAATTTGTTTGGTGATACCTACTGTACGGAATTATTTAACTGACGATATGCTTTTCAATTTCTTATAAACTGTTATGAGTTGGTATAGAAATTTAGTATGTTGTGGTGTACTGTTTCAAACAGAAATGTTCCCTAGAACTGGCTATTGCATTAATCCTTGCAGTAAAGTTGTTGTTTACTACTTTTTAATTTGCATGTCAGTTCCTTGGTGCTAAAATCTGGCTATAGACAGTATAAAAAAAGTGCTGTTCTTAGAAATGGTACATAGAATGCCCAACAATAAGTGAACATTATAAGGTTGAGATAGAGATCAAAGGCAAGACATCACTTATAAGCAGATAGTACATGTGAATAAGTTATTGTCTTTATGTGAAGTGTGGACACACATGCATGGTTAGTCATTGTTATAGTAAGTCACTGGCTGTGTTTTTATAACGTTAGATGTGTTATTGTGGTCTTATGGGTTACGCATAATCAGGTAAGTGGACACCATTGTTTTGGAGGAACAAGGCCATATGTTTCTCCAAGATGTTCGTGTTCATCTGCAAGACTGTGTAGCTTCATAACATAGAATAGCACAATATCAGTCTTTACTGTTGTGGAAACTTGAAATATTGAACCAGCACAGAAAGTACATGGGAATTGTGAATGGGACTCAGTTTTCTAAAATAATTATTTCCTAGGATTGTGTTTTTGAGATGACATTGACATATGGGGTGGGGGAGCTAAACATAGTTGGAAAGTTTAAGAGATACTGTGTTTCGAATTCTGTCAGCCACTGGTCTGCTTCAACTATATAGAAAATAGATATGACAAATATTTATGCTGGTTCCTTATACTGTATAAAATTGTAAGTTATAGGACACCTGTAAGCTGTGGGTGACTTATTCTTGGCCTGATATCCTCGTAGCCTGCATAACATCAGTCTTATTTATGCACTGATCTGGTTTTTTATGTATATCAATATGAAAGAAGAGGACTCAGGCATCCATCTCAGTCTCTGTGTTGAATTGGTTGTTGTGGTATATGCTGTTAACAGTGGTTAAAGAAATCATTCCTCCCCCCCCCCCATGGTGGTCGAATGAGAATGTTCTCGTGAAATATGAGGAACATATTTTACGTTACTCAGCCTACCTATATGCAAGCTGTGAGGAGCCCCCTTCCTAATAATAACAGAACAAAACCTGAGTTAATCTAACTTATTAACTGAAGATGGAGGAATCAGGTTTCTCTGAAACAATGCTAACCAACTACGAGACTGCACTGTATGGAAAGCCCCCCCCCAAAAAAAAGGCCCTTTGACTTGTCACTGCCACGGAAACTTTAAATTTAAAATTTTAGTCGGTAAATTCCAGTTTTGGCAGTAAATCTGCAGAACCCTTGCAGAATGACACAGGAAACACGGTTCAGAAGGTGGGGCAAGATGTACAGGCAATTTTTTTCCACAAAATATTTGCAGATGTACCAAAACAAGAGTTCTGGCATTAAATATAGCTGATCACTGCTCATGTGTACATGATCAGAGGCACTACCAGAAGCTGTGATGCCAATATTTAGGAGCTCAGCTGAACCAGAACTAGGGGAATGTTGGTAAACGCACAATTTTGTGTTTATGATCGGGTTTCAGCCTTTAATATAGGTAATACTGGTCGGGTGGATGTGATGCAGAAGTTTGGAAATAGTCTAAGGATCAATATGTTGAATATGTCATGAGATCTGCAAATATTGAATACAGAAATGAGACTTTGATGCTGGAAACATATCCAAAGAAGCAGGAGGGGTTCACAGGAACCAGGAAAGTTCCAGCAAAGATGATGAATGTTCTGATGATCCAGAATGTGGACCAGGGATACATTAAGGTGGTCTCTCTTACTGTCCATTTTCCCCACAGCTCTGCAATTTTGCAGATATTTACATGTTCTTCCCAAGAACCATTTTTCACAGAATAATGAAATTTTTATTAAGTCTTTTGCTTTTATTTGTAAAGATGCCTAATTCTTGTTTTAAATCTGTAACACATAAACTATGGAAATTGTTAAGTAATATTTTCTCAAAAATGTTGAAATATTAGGGACTTTAAACAATAGAAGTTTTAGTTTTTTAATGTACCTTAGTATCGTATCCTAAGATTTAACATTATGAATGTGAGTCTTTGCAGTTGCACAGGTTGTGTAGTTTTGTATGGTAAGACTGTTGAGAGTGGTAAACTGAAGAGTATGTAGAAACTGTTATTGTCTGCTTTAAGCCATCCCAGCATTTGTGTGAAGGGACTTAGGTAAACCATGAAAATCATGGTCTATTGGCCACTTTCTTTGTCGCTATCAACATAATCATCTCATAAACTTTACGATGTCTCAGTAGTGCTTCATTTTTAGTCTGCCTGACATTCTCAGTGGAAAAAGATCTCCATTCTCTCTGCAGAGGTGTGTGTGTGTGTCTATGTTCCTTTCAGCTATTGAACTGACTGATTTTCATGAAATTGGATATGAATATGTGCCACAGGAGGATTGGAGCCATCCTCAGCCTCACTCAATTTAGTTTCCTTTACTTTGTAGTGACCATGTGGCACATGCAAAACTTGTGAGGTGACAGCGTACCTGGAGCCATTCTGTGACGTATGGAAATATGTGCAAAAAATGGATAACTTAAATTGTTTATAATGACAGTGTGGCAGCTGCATGGAATCTGTATTTGGCATTTGGTTTGGTGTCAAGAAGTAATTATCACTTGTGGGTCATGCCTGTGAAATCTGATATGGCGGTAGATCGCAAACACACAAACTCATTATTAAATATATGTAGTTTATAGGCTAGCAAGTAAATACATGGAGATGAAGTGAAACCTTTTGGTTATATCCCAGCTGGCAGAATCAGTAAGTAGAGTTAACAAGTTATTCCCACTGCCACGGCCGCCGCTGCCGCCACCATCACCACCACAGTAATAATAATAAAAATAATCTGTAATATGTTTACAAGCCATAAAGTAGTTCTGTTACCAGTTGGAATTTGATCGACTAATCTTATTTTCTCGTTTGATTTCAAATTTATATTACTGAAATATAACACAAATGAGCAACAGTAACAAATCAAAATTCGATACAGGAGGACATTAAGAGGAGATTGAATTCGGGTAATGTTTGCTATTATCCAGTCGACAACCTTTCGTCTTCTCGTCTGCTGTGTAAAAACATAAAAATTAGAATGTACGAAACTATAATTTGCTTGTGGTCCTGTGTGGGTGTGAAACTTGGTCTCTGACATTAAGGGAGGAACATAGACTGAGGGTGTTTGAGAACAAGGTGTTGAGAATATTTGGACTGAAGAGAAATGAAGTGACGGGAGATTGGAGAAAACTGCATAATGAGGAGCTTCATAACTTGTACTCTTCTCCAAATATAATTAGAATGATCAAGTCAAGGAGGATGAGATAAGAAATGCATGTAGCACGAAAGATGGGAGAAGAGGATTGCATATAGGATATTGGAAGAAAGCTAAAAGGCCATTAGGAGGATATAGACGTAAGTGGGAGCATAATATTAAACTGGATCTTAGAGAGATAGGATGGGGTGGTATGGACTGGATTGATCTGGCTTAGGATAGGGACCAGTGGTGGACTCTTTTGAACACGGTTATGAACCTTCCGGTTCCGTAAATTGTTGGAAGTTCTTGAATAAGCTGCGTGACTGACGGCTCCTCAAGAAGGGCTGAGCTCCGTGAACATTTTGCAGGTCTGCATACTGAACCTCCCTGTGCAGTCCCTGTACACCGAAATCCCCCTTATGTGTATGGAAACGCGTGGGTTTAGTTTAATTTTACTCTTACGAACATGCGTGTGTGATTCGTGCCTCGAACTAGCTACAGTCGAGCGCGAACAGTGCGGAAAGCGTGTCTTCTTCATTGTGGTTCTGGGTAAAGAAAGTGCACGGTCAGGATTATTTGCTTGCACTGATATCGATAGAGGATACGACCATCTCCGGAATGTCAGGTACATGCATACTTCTATTATATAGATCCGTCGTCCCCTGTGAATGTTGGAGATGGTATTTTGGTCTTACGTATGTGCACATTTGACTGTAGTTTAACACGATTCATAATACCGAATAAGCTGGCTGGAAGTAGTATGCTTTGAACTTGTATATTTGGGTTCGATTCTCAGCCGGGACAACTATCACGACCGAGGTTTTTGTAATTTTCCGCAGTCCCTACAGGAAAATTCCGGAAAAGTGCTAAAAATTAGGTAATTGCCACATAGTTTGTCAACTGATCTGTACGGCATTCATGGTAGTAGCTGATTTTTGCATTTAGCCCCCTTTGCATGGCTAATCTGCCCTCTGTC